AAGAATGCAGCAAGTCGTGCCTATCACGCACGCAAGATAATGGCACGGGCCGCAGGCAAGACGCACGTCCTGGAGCAGGAGACGCGCACGGAGCGCGAGAGTAGCCAATCAACGGGCAAGGACGACTACACGCGACTAGCGCACGAGACGGGCGAGCGCGGTATCGTAGGCGCAGGCGCGCAGCAGGCGCGAGCGCGGGAGATACGTGTCGCTGGGAAACCCGCGCAGGGCTTGAAGCCCTATGCCTCGAGGAGTGCGGCAACCCGAGTGTTGCGGGAGAACACGCGCGCGCAAGCGGATCCGAGAGCGAGGACGTGCAAAGCACGCTAGATGGAGGTGGACGCGCTGGGCAAGAAGCCCCAGTCCTCGAGGAGTGCGGACTAGAAGGCGATCACGCGCGAGAGGGCAGCGCGGGCGGCATTGGCGTGCGCAGCACGTCGGGCGCCAGTACACGCGCGCAGCAGGCAGCATGCCCTAGTGCCGCGAGGACTAGGCAAGGCGCGCGGGCGACTAGGACTTAGGCGGTGTGCGAGGTGGCCGAGGAGAGAGAATAAGAGAGAGAGATTACTTGGTGTGCAAGCCAAGCTTATAGTTTCCATCTAGTACTATAATTTCTAGCTTGTTTAGGATTTCTAATATTTTATTGCTTTATTAGTTCCGTAGGTAGATTAGGTTGTTATCACCCAATTCGGTAATCTGAAGTTACCAACCTCAAACTGCATTTTGGAGGGATTAATTACAAAGCACCGACATAGTCCACAATAATCCCGGTTTGCCTACTAAACCGGCTTGGTCACATAAAACTGAGGTGATTATCGAACCAAGGTCATCCCGAGCCGAAGCTATCTTATACCGAAGTCCCCACGAACCGAGGTCACTATTCCCAAAGCTGGTGACAAGGCGCCTACGCGAAAACCTCACACATCACGAGATCCTTCATCAACCCACTCATATGACCGCCCATCAAAAGCTACTTTACAAGAAAAATTTACCGTACACCTCGAGCTACGAGCACGAAAAGCTACTATAAATAGCACATTTATTCTCTTGTACAAGGATCGCTCTCTGAAAATTCAATACGCATATATAAAACAAACTGCGCCACCTTTTACCTCGGTTCACCTCGGACCGGGGCCATTGTTGAGTTTTGATTGCATGTCTTACATTCACAATTATTCAAACTGCTTAACTAAACATCTACGAAATCGTTGTTA